GGTTATAAAGTAGAATTTTTTTTTTTTTTACGTACAAAATATTTTATTTTATGAACGTATGATTGAAAATGAGTATAAAAAATAAAGCGTTTTTATTTAAAGAGAGTTGAACAGGGGCTAAACAAGCCTATTTTTTGGGGAAATAGATTTCGTAGTAGTGAATTTTTGGAGAATGTACGATTAAAAAATAAGGAAAAATTTAGATTTACCTGTAAAATTATTTTATTTAAAGGATATGTGATTCAAAATAAATTTGAAGAAAAATATATGGGGTGCTTGAGCCACATTATTTTTGAAGAATGTATTTTGAAATAGTAGATTGATGGAAAATGTGTGATCAAAAAGAATGAAAAGTTTTTGATTTTTGTATAATATTATTTGAATGGAAATGTATGGTTGAAAAAAAGAGATAAAAATATATTTTGGAAAAAAATGGGAATCTCCCCGTACTTTTGAAAAATGGGACTCAAAGAATTGCCAATTGTTCGAGTACTCGAGTTTACTCTATGTGGTAAATTGAGAGAGAATAAAGAATAATTCGATTGTTATTCTACCTACGAGGATATTATAAGCAGATTATAATTTGAGTTGAAATTCTAAGTAAGAGTAATTGTTATAATAAATATACACTTTATTACATTTTTTATTTTTTTATTTTATAACACGTTATCAACATGAGTTCTAGTCAACTGATTTAGAAAAAAAGATTATCTTCAAAAGAAAATTTGAGAATTGGTTATTGTAATTTTGTTTAGGTTATTTTTGATAATATAAAAAAAAAAAATTAATAAGAAATTTAAGACATGTATTATGTCGTTGTTGCTGAAGAAAAATGACTTTATATTCATTCGATTCCAAGAGAATATCGCATCGTTGCTTTGTAGAGCACAACGTTAAATATTGATATTTATCAAAATATAATGTAGCTCGAAAAGAACACAAGTTTTGAATTTAACTATTCTAGAAGAATATTATATCGTTTATGAAGAAGCATAAAATTTATTGGAATTGTGTTTATGGAGAATAAAAACTTAAAACGACTGAATATTGGAATAATTATTGAAGAAAAACAACTTTATTCTTTAATAATATTTATGATGTATATGTTAATACTCTTGAATGTTGTGATAATGTGTTGGATGAGATATGATGAATTTGAGTGATGACTTTAAAACAAAAAATCAATCTATCAATCCTTACCAACTAAATTGGACAGAGTAATCGTAAAATATGAGTGAAATTCCAAAGAAAACAATATAACGTCAAACGAAGTGTATGCAAAGTCGAGGCAATAGTTGAACTCTTTATTCTTAAGTTGAATTTGCCTCGCAATGGGGTGCCTACGGATGATGGCAATCGAATCCCAAAATACAACGACAAACTTCTTGTATTGTAGCACTTCAAAACATAAGAACAACGACCAGAAATTGGTTTTTGTACTCCTTATGAAAAAACAACTTTTATGCAGAATTTTGGCTACAAAAATGATGAATTTAATGTTATGCTATGATTGCATATAATTGGGATGAACAAATGGACGTCACAATGATCTAATTTATAGAGAATAAAATGTTTTGAGCGCTTCCCAAACTAAGCAACATTTGCTAAGGATCGCAACATTTGCTATCGCTCGCATGTAGACCCTTGCGTCGCTCAAGCGTCAGAAACAAAGATTCTGTCACTCAAGCGATAGCCTCCACGCTCGAGCGCTAGGCGAGCGAAGGAGTTGGTCAAATTTTTAGTCGATTTTTTCTCTTTCTTCTGACTTTAGACGGTAATTTCTCATTCGCCCTGAATTGGTTTGGAGATTCCATACGACGACGATTTACTTGACAAGCAGAATAAGTTGTTTTATTTATTTTCATATTTTGACTATCGGATAACGTCCGAATATTTGGTCACTTTTTCATGATTTTAAACTTAACAAACTCCAACATGACGTTCATAATAAAACATAATAATAATTTTAACAATATTTTGGGAGAATATTATGGTGTCAATTCTTGAAGAAGCTCATTTTCAATAGTAGATTGATGGAGAACGTGCAACTGAAAAAGAATGAAAAGTTATTGATGTGATGAAGAATATTATTTTATTGAAAAATGTGTGATTAAAAATGAGTAAAAGAATCATAATGAAAATTTTAATATGAGTCAAACATGGGCTAAACATTGTGGGTGATTTGGTTATTCTTTTTGACATGCATATTATACATAATTGATTCCAACAATTGTTTGAGTCCTATTTTTTGGTCAAAAATGTATTTTTGAATGTATTTTATTGGAGAATTGTAGTTAAAAAATAAGAAATTTTTTTGAATTTACGTATGATATTATTTTATGGAATAATGCGTGGTTGAAAATGAGTTTTGAAAAAAATGTGGGCCAAACATAGACGTAGTTGGACTATGTATTTGGCATGCTCCTATTTGATTTAATTTCGTAGATACTAATGTTATTTATACATAATGAAGTTACATATAGATGGTCTTAAAAAGAGTGTAGAATTTTTTTTAAAAAAATATTTAGTTGAAGAAATTTTGACCTAATCATATTTTACTATATTATGTGTATATAAATTATTATGTAATTGTAGCACAATTGTTCCATCAGTTATTCATATAATGATTTTCTTAACAAAATTTACGAACAAATTTTTTTGCCTATATCTCTTCTATATATTAAAAGTGGCTATGTAACGAAATTTCTTGTTTTTAACGAAAAAATTAACGGAATTTGTTGTTTTAACGGACTATGTAACAGAATTTCTTATTTTAAACAGACGGTTGCACCTTCGTTCAATGTTTTTATCATAACTTTGTATTTCGATATCCGATTGAGGCGATTCAAAATGCGTTGGAAAGCTAACGGAATTGGTTGTTTTAACGGAAAATCTTTTTTCACCGTTATTTTTATTGTTTCCATTAAATAGC